CAAGCTTGCTGGCTCGACATGGGGAGCAGAAGCGCATACTCTGCGAGCTACTGCCATAGCAATGTGTTATTCAGCTGCGGGAATATTGCGCTCTAGTCTGGGCACAGTCTTCACACACTAGACTCATAGATATGCAGCTGAACACAGCAATGCGTACCATCTCTGGAGTGTTAAGATCCACACCAGTGCCATGGCTCTCTGTGTTATGTCACATCCCTTCTAAAAAAAAAGCCTCACCCATCCACACGGTGGAACGGGTGTGGAATGGTGTGGATATCGTGTGGACGGCTCTGATTCTCGTGCGGAATCAGTGGGGAAGGGGGTGGAAAGGGTGCGGAATGGATTCTCATGTTATTTTTTAAAACTTACATTTAATTTTTCATGCAAACGTGGTGATTCATTTTAAAGGTCGTAAAAAAAACTAAGTGCAAAAAATGAAAATACTCAGCCAAAGGAAATTTCATTACTTAAGAAAAATTTCATGGTGAATTGTGGACAACCGTCACTGCCACACACTTGAGTAGAGAGCAGCTCTATGCTTCTCCTGTCGCTGGATGCTTGCTAACAAGGATCGACGGAACCTCCTATCTAGTGGGATCGCAAATTCAATCTGAAAGCAATGTTGAGTGCGTTTCGTTACTAAAGGTCAATGAAAGCAGAAGGCCTAAGCTTCTTGTGCAGAGCACAACAGCGCCATCTCTAAAGACTCCCCTCTCGCGACTGCACCACAGAGTTCGAATGTCTAACGCAATTGACTACAGTTTTTTAACCGTATCGGGAAGGCATCTGGAACGAGCAATATCAATATAGCTGAAGAAGCGCAGACAGTACATTCTTGGGACTTTAGCACCCTTTATACAAAAATCCCCTTGGACCTTCTGCGTAAAGCGCTGGTAGATTTGTTTCGAGAATTTTTGCCTATGGGCTGTAGTTACAAAGATGACTACATTGGTGTGGAACTCTTTTCAAATATCCTTAAAATGAGCATACAGTGTAATTTTATTCTCATGGGTAATAAGGTGTTTCGCTAGTCGGTCTGCTGGATGTCCAGCTTCTACTCTGTGGAATTAGGGCTAGTCCCTGGCCTAGGACAGATTTCAGGGAATGGGCATATATAGGCCATTCGCATTCTATGGTCGACTGTGTCTCTCCTCTTCCACTGCCTTCTCCTTGCCTTTCTCATTTTTTCTGTCGATCAGGGGCCAGTTAAGACAGTTGGTTTTGGTTTACGTCCACAGGCTCGAATTACAACACGTGATCTCTCGTTAATTTACTCAGTGAATTCTCCCAGTCTTTGTGGAATTTTCTCTTTCTCCACTCTTTTCTTATCGAGCCATGGATTATGGATACATCTTTCGGGCACGGATTCCACTTGAGCTTAATTTCTCCATAGCTGTCGGTTAGACGTTGTCTGCTGAGCATCTCTCTCTCCTGAGCATCGTCAATTCCACTTTCACAGGATACTTTGCATTGGTGTGTGCACAGGGTGTCCACTTCGTATGGGAGTCGTGTCAGTGCGGCCAAAAACTAGGGCTTAAGTGGCTAAAAACTGGGGTGTTTACCCTACTCCTCGTGAGGAAATTCCATAACCAGCCAAATCCACAGGGGTGGATATTCCTCGAGAGGAAATTCCACCTCCAACCACATCCACAAGGGGAGACCACATGCGTTCCACATGTGTGGAAAGAGTGTGACTTTCTTAGAAGGGATAGCCCCGCCGCAACCACGCCATGAGGTTGCCGCCGCACATATGATGGCTTTTGCTAAAGCAAATCCTGCCCTGCCTCTCCACTCTGATCTCTTTGATCCACCAACTCATTGTCTCCCATCCCGACACCCACTCTGGGCCATCTTACCAACAGGCCAAGCGGTGTCATTGGAGCAGCGCTGGCGTGAGGAGTGGGCCAAGTCGACGGTGACAAATCACCAAATAGTTGACGACCCTTCGGTCGAACCACTAGGCTTCCACCTTCCACGGAAACTGTGGACCCTTCTAAATCGCTTCCGGACAGGTCATGGGCGTTGTGCGGCTAATGACCACCGATGGAGACTGCTTGATAGCCCACTGTGCGAATGCGGTGAGTCGCAAACAATGTCGCACATAGTCAACGACTGCCCAATGACTTGCCTCCATGGTGGCCTACACACTCTGCACGCCGCTGGTGCATCACGTGGCTAAACAAGCGTGCCCTGACCCCATCTACCAACCACCCCACTTAAATTCCTGACAATTCTTCGTTCGCACAGGCATTCGATACATAAATAAAAATCAAACACCACTCAGCTACACATCCGTGCAGATGGAGCTCCTGCCCATCGTCCAAAAGCGATCTTGCATTACATCAATACCAATTGTGCTGATTTCATCGAGCCTGACCTGTGGCCGCCAAACAGCCTCGATATAAATCCTGTCGATTATTTCGATTGGGGCTGTTTGCAGCAAATGATGTAAGATGGTGCCGACATTCAAACCGTCGACTTGCTCAAACAAAGCATCCCAATGTGTTGTAAACCACTGGGCCAAGAATCAGTCGCAAAAGCTATTCAACAATGGACAGGACGACTGCGAGTAGTTGTCCGAGCAGAGGGAAGCCATATACAGGGTGGCCCAAAAGTTTTTGGACCGATTTTTAAATGCCAATATCTCGGAAAGTATTGAAGCTAGAGACTTGAAAAAATCACCAAATAAAAGTTCAATTCATCCTCTTTCCAATGATGTATGGTNATATACAGGGTGGCCCAAAAGTTTTTGGACCGATTTTTAAATGCCAATATCTCGGAAAGTATTGAAGCTAGAGACTTGAAAAAATCACCAAATAAAAGTTCAATTCATCCTCTTTCCAATGATGTATGGTTTTCCAGTCGTAGGTGTCATGCCATGGCCGCAATGGTCATTTGAAAAAACCATGCTTGAAAAAAAAGTTGTAAACTGAGGAAAAAAGTCACAAGTTCATTTTTAAGAGACAGAAACGGAGCTAACTTTTTATTTTTCGATGAAATGTTCAATGTGACCACCATTTTGATTCACTACAGCATTCAATCTCTTCCTCCACTTCAAAATGGCCTTCGAAATCCAAGTCTGGGAAAGCTCATCCCATGCTGCAGAAATTCGCTCCTTTAGGTGCTGGACGTCGCGGATTTTTGAACCTCGGTACACCTTCTGCTCCATAGCCGACCAGATGAAGTAGTCCACTGGGTTCAAATCTGGGCTGCAGGGTGGCCAGTTTTCAGGCTCGATGAAGTCAGGACAGTTACTGTTAAGAAAGTGCACAGTTTTCGTTGCTGTATGGGCTGGGGCGCCATCTTGCTGGAAGACATAATCTGGGCTCTTTTCCTCGATTTCAGCCAGCATGGGGGTCAAAACATCTTCACAATAGCTGTCCGCATTAATTTTAACTCCACGTGGGATAAAGAAAATTGACGTTTTCGCTGATGACGTGGCCGCAAGTGAAACCATTACAGACTCGGAGAAATGTTTCCGTTCACGCAGAAGTCGGTCTGGCGGTACGTTTCTTTTTCTTTCAACAGCAGCATGGACGCGGTCGTTTTGAGTGTTTCGTGGTGTTTCGACACTGAACCGCTTCTCGTCGGAGAACCAGATTTTTTTTACAGCTTTGTTGCTCCGAAACCTGTTCAATAGTTTTTTGCACCGAACTAGACGTTTCTTCTTGATTGCTGCTGACAGCTCATGGACAGGAACTCGCTTGAAAACTTTCAATTGCAGGTCCTTTTTGATTATCCGTTGAACAGACGAACGTGAAATTCCAGTTTCCTTGGACGCTTCTCGCTCACTTTTGCTTGTGCCGGGATTCCCTTCTTGGCTCAATATCAATTCACGAACACTTTCGATGTTTTCTGTAGTTCGCGCAGTTTTTGGTCGCCCTGTTACCGGACGACGCTCGTCACTTCCAGTTTCTTCAAGTTTTTTCAAAAAGTAAGCAACGGTGGACTTCTTCCACTTTCGGTTCGGAAATTCTTTTAGAATTTGATTCAATGAAAATCCTTTTTCCTCGCGAAGTGCACGAATGATTTTTTGATCACTTAAAGATAAACCGCGATTGACACTCATTTTAAGACCCCGTGGAAATAAAAACGGGTAATACAAACATTTTTTTCAAAAAGAGGAACAAAAGATGTAGCAAGGAAGTGCATACGAGGTCTGCCGAAAACCAGAAGAGCCAACAGTTAACAACTGAACTCGTCTGAGCATCGAAGCGTGGGCGTCTCACTTGTCCCGCATAATCCCTCACTTCCTCCTCCCTAGCTGTCTGCTGGTCAGCATCTTACAATTTCTACGCACCTAATGGTCCCAGTCGAGGTGCACTTGCCTGTCTGGTCTTCCCGGGTGTGACACGGATGCAGGATAGTAGCATCAAAATATCCTTGCAGCTCTTTTTTCAGGATTGGTTTTTTCAAATGGCCATTGCGGCCATGGCATGACACCTACGACTGGAAAACTATACATCATTGGAAAGAGGATGAATTAAACTTTTATTTGGTGATTTTTTCAAGTCTCTAGCTTCAATACTTTCCGAGATATTGGCATTTAAAAATCAGTCCAAAAACTTTTGGGCCACCCTGTATATCCACATGAAGAACGTTTATCTCAGTAGACTTCACATATGTGAAGAGATGTGGCTGCCGCCGGAAGCGGTTGGTGGGTGCAACGCTGATTTTTCCTAACCGAAATTCAATCCTTATTATTAGTCACCGTTTAACATATTTCAAGTATGTAAAAAAAAAGCAAAAAGCTCATCCTTTTTTTCCACTGCATATGTCCCGAAATAAAATCTGAAAAAAATCACATCGCAAAATCGCTTTGAAAAGTGCGACCTTTTTGGGTCACCCTGAACATTAAATATTGATGCTCTTATTGTAGTATGCCTTTCATTCACGTCGTTATTCATACCTGAACCAGCAACGCGCTCTTTTTGGGGGAGACAAATATACTCTATAATGTGGCTCATTCCTGACTTGGTTGCAACTGTTCAACTTGCATATCTGTAGTTTCGGACTTACCCGCTATGGGTCTCTTCTGAAGATTGAGTAAGGTCTTCAGATTGTCGAACCTGGTCATCAGGATTGCCATCAGATGGCTCCATGACTCCTACAAAAAAAAATCCAAGGACAAATCATGTACGTTAAAAGGGAAAAAAAGTATTTTGGAACTACTGCCACGCATGCTGGTGTCGTATGAGTAAAAATAAGTAAAATTCGAATATAGCCTTAATAGAGCCTTGTGGCTCCCGCAGGGGCTTTTTTGTTTTCGGCCCTGCATGGGATCCGCCCATGTCAGGGTTGGGCCTCCATTGTATTTTTGGGGGTGTGACCTCCCCCTTCGGTCCACGCCGTCTTACGTCTTCTGTCCCTCTGTCCTGTGTCGTCCGTCGTGGAAGGTCGTCCCTGGCAGTCATTCTCGTCAGCTCTGCCTACGATCTCTGGTCTGCTGTCAGAAGCCGTGCCTGCTTTCCCCGTCTCTTGTGACAAACTTTGCTGTGGACCGTCCGAACTCAAGACCTCCACAACACCTCCATTAACATCTGTGACATTTATTTTCTTCTCTTAATTTAACTTGAATTAAATACTTGCTGTCCTTGTTGTTTGAACACCGCTTTATTATTTGTCATCAGTCCTCACCTTAGACGGCTTGCCCTGTCTGTGGAGCGATGCCGGACCCTTCCTTTTGCCTCCAATTACCCGCTCGTGCTAAATTATCTTAACATTGCTTTCGGCCTAAAGTTAACGTTAAATGTCCACTTTTAAGACCCTCCACACGACACTGGCAAGTTGTCTAGTGCATGAGAGCATCGGCAACACTCTATCCACAAGATGGTCTTCGTGTTCACAATTCATGTCTTACTTCCTCTGGCAAGGTCGGAGTTTTTTCTCAGCTCTACTGGTATGTCCAATGCATCAGCTTTGTACAGGGTTTCTTATAAAAAGTACAGAGGTTTTGCCTTTGAATACATCCGTAATGGTTAGGGAGAAATAAATTATCTCTTACATATTTTTGCCAGAATTTTTATATTAAAGTTGAATTGGTGGACATCCAAGAACAGTTATCAAATTTTTAGCTGAGGCATGCACTAGCGCGTGACATTGTGTGACATTCTGTATGGTTGATGACAGGATGTAGCGGTACGCCTTCAGTCATACGCATGAGCGCATTAAAGTGGCGCATGTCCAATGTTGAGGCGTGTGTGAACGCTGAGTGCGGCTGCAGCAAGACTGCAGCTGGACTGGTTTACCATTAGCATACCTTGAAAGAAATCCCGGACATCCTGTCTGCCAATGTCAGTCAGTGCCTCGTAGAACTTGGGAACGCATTCTTGTGGGTTCTTGGAAACGAGGATGGCGAAGAGTTCATCATATTGTTCCTTGGGGTTTTGCTTGCCACGAATCTGCTGCTCCTCAATGATTGTGATAACTTTCTTGTCACTCAAGCTGCGTCGTAACTCATTAGGATCAATGTTGAACTCATCCCGAAGCTTCAGCCTATTCTTGATGATCCTGTCCCAGGATGACATGTTCCTTCTCTTCTGCAGAGAAATAAAAACNAATTTGAATGAATTAGTCTAGGGCGATGCTTTTTGCGAATAAGGAATCAGTATGTCATGGACTTTCAAAATTATGGCAGGTTTTGTGAATATATGAATTTGTGTCGTCACAAGACAAAATTATCTTTTAAGCAAAATTATTTTTTCCAAACGGGTCCGGAAATGTGAATTTTGATTTTTTTGTTTTGAAAAACCGATGTAGCCGAAAAAAACTTGTCTGTGGGTTTGCCTTCGTATGTCCTTACTGTAACATACTTTCTCATTTCGACACTCATTTGTTTATTATTTTTCGAAAAAAAATGTATTTTTTTTTGTTGTGGGACATATTTGTCCCACGCTATATCTCGAGAACTATGGGAGATACAGCCTCCAAAAAAGTTTTTTGGAATCTACACGTCATTTTCACCCTAAACACGTCATTAAAGTTAAGGTCGCTGTCCCACAATGCTTATGGTCCTGAAAGGTTTAAGCGCTACTTTATTGAGAAGGGTTTGGATGATAGTGGACATTGGCATTGATGCTTTAGAGAAGATTTTTCGGATATGAAACAAGCAACTATGAGGACATTTTCGTGAATCGTAATTTTTGTTTTTGCACAAGTAAAGGACATTTGTGTCTGGGTTTCTTACTATCCTATGAGGTAAGTTCGCTTTATTGGGGCAGCCGCTTAATTGGGCAAATTGACCTGGAACCAACGTTTCTAAAAAAAAGCGGAATCCACTGTACAGTCCTGAAGCGGGAGAGTCAAATAGAAAAATTGAATTCAAATGGAGTCAAAATGTTTTTACGAGACAAAAACGCCCCTGAAATTATAACGTTTCTTCCACCTGTCGGGGGAATCGGGAAGTTACAAGAAAAATTCAGCGCCCTCTATGTATATCAATCGAGACGTAATTGAGTTTTTCGTGACGATATTGCACACAGTCATGGAGTGTGCAGTTTCGTCCACGCACATTTCGTCCACGAGAGTCAGAGCCAGAGTCGAACCTGAATTGGGAACCTGAATTTAAAAAAAAATTAGACTTTGGAGATACATGCCCTAGTGGGACGAATTTCAAGGCGAGATGTTTAAAAAAATTTTTTGTTTCAGTCAAACGGATGAACATGGAAAGCTGAAATTTCACATAGACGTGTCTACTGAGAGTTTGCGTTCAGGAAAAATGTCAGGTTTCGGAGGCATGCCTTGAGGGCATATTTTTGTTCGGTGAAGCTTTCAAATAATGTTTTTGTCCTACTGAATTTGGCAGAAATAGAAAGGTGAAATTTGGCGCACCAATGCCTGAGGTGATGAGTTCAGAAAATTTTCAAGTTTTGAGATGCAGTCAGGGCACAGTTTTTGGCTGCATTAGCTTTTCCAAATATATTTTTGCACTAGCAAAATGAGCAAATGAAAAAAGCTAAAAATTGGTAGGCACGTAATTCTGCCAGTATTGATTTCAGTTAAAATGTTGATGCATGTTCAGCATGACCTCCCCCTTCGGTCCACGCTGTCTTACGTCTTCTGTCCCTCTGTCCTGTGTCGTCCGTCGTGGGAGGTCGTCCCTGGCAGTCATTCTCGTCAGCTCTGCCTACGATCTCTGGTCTGCTGTCAGAAGCCGTGCCTGCTTTCCCCGTCTCTTGTGACAAACTTTGCTGTGGACCGTCGCAACTCAAGACCTCCACAACACCTCCATTAACATCTGTGACATTTATTTTCTTCTCTTAATTTAACTTGGATTAAATACTTGCTGTCCTTGTTGTTTGAACACCGCTTTATTATTTGTCATCAGTCCTCACCTTAGACGGCTTGCCCTGTCTGTGGAGCGATGCCGGACCCTTCCTTTTGCCTCCAATTAACCGCTCGTGCTAAATTATTTTAACATTGCTTTCGGCCTAAAGTTAACGTTAAAAGTCCACTTTTAAGCCCCTCCACACGACACTGGCAAGTTGTCTAGTGCATGAGAGCATCGGCAACACTCCATCCACAATATGGTCTTCGTGTTCACAATTCATGTCTTACTTCCTCTGGCAAGGTGAGTTTTTTCTCAGCTCTACTGGCATGTCCAATGCATCAGCTTTGTACAGGGTTTCTTAGAAAAAAAGTACAGAGGTTTTGCTTCTGAATACATCCGTAATGGTTAGGGGGAAAAAACTTATGTCTTACATATTTTTGCCAGAATTTTTATATTAAAGTTGAATTGGTGGACATCCAAGAACAGTCATCAAATTTTTAGCTGGGGCATGCACTAGCGCGTGACATTGTGTGAGATTCTGTATGGTTGATGACAGGATGTAGCGCTACGCCTTCAGTCATACGCATGAGCGCATTAAAGTGGCGCATGTCCGATGTTGAGGCGTGTGTGAACGCTGAGTGCGGCTGCAGCAAGACTGCAGCTGGACTGGTTTACCATTAGCATACCTTGCAAGAAATCCCGGACATCCTGTCTGCGAATGTCAGTCAGTGCCTCGTAGAACTTGGGAACGCATTCTTGTGGGTTCTTGGAAAGGAGGATCGTGAAGAGTTCATCATATTGTTCCTTGGGGTTTTGCTTGCCACGAATCTGCTGCTCCTCAATGATTGTGATAACTTTCTTGTCACTCAAGCTGCGTCGTAACTCATTAGGATCAATGTTGAACTCATCCCGAAGCTTCAGCCTATTCTTGATGATCCTGTCCCAGGATGACATGTTCCTTCTCTTCTGCGGGGAAATAAAAACTCGAATCATTCCAATGCACAGTGTCTAATGCTTCATACTCTTGACTTTGTGCTGCCATAACTCTCCAGCACTATATGGTCTCTGATCCTCAATACATTTCATGATATTCTTTTTGCTTGACATTATTTTTCTTCAAGTGAATCAATGCAGTCATGGGATATATCACGGGACAGGTTTTTGCTCTCATGCGAGGATTCTGGATCTAATTTCGGCTCTGCTTGTCGGTTTACCCATTTCCCTTAAATTACTCGTGCTGCTCACCAATCGCTGCTTAAAGAAGTCTAGGGTGAGCGAAATTTGGCTCTCGTGGTGTTGAATACGCTTGGATATGACTGATTTAAAGAAATAATAAAGAAGTGAAAAGATGACAAAAAAATTGTCAACATGAATTGCCTATTTTCACTCATGTAAGGTACTCTTAGAAAAAGATTGACTCCTATATTGTCTGTTCCACCCATTATTCAAATCTTGAGCTACCCTTACAAAATGATCCTATAGGATCCTATAATATTTTTGAAACATGAAAATCTTATAGGATTCGCATAGGATTCCCCTTGGATTCCTATAGGATCCTATACGATCCTAAAAGAACCCTATAGGATTCTTATGAGAATCTTATGAGAGTTTCATGTTTCAAAACTCTTATAGGATCCTATAGAATTTTTTTGTACGGGTATCCGGAGGTCTGTTTACGTAATGTGAAATATAAGATGTCTTATAATGACTTTGCATTGCTCCTGAAATTACGTTGCATGGTTGTCATGACTATTTCAAGCTCACGGTAGACTGCATGAGGAGAGCTCGTCTGGGAGCCATACGTTACCTGCAAAACTTTATTTTGGAAATATAGAATAGGAGTATGCAGTTTTTACTATTATCCTCCGCTCATATCATGCACCTAAGACTTCATTGTGACAATGCCCCTCTTGCAAGTAATTGCTTTTACTCCTAATGGAATGAAACTAGTACGAATCCATGAGGTCAATAGTGCAACAGTATAGGCCTAAAATTTGCCTGATATCGAACGAGACGATGCAAAGTGAAACCAGAGGGAAAGAGTGCACCTGATTCGTGAATCACTAGGTGAGGGCCGATCGGTGCTGAAGACATAGCAGTATAACAGTTAAATCATGGTAAGCAGACACAATTCAAGTCGACACATATGATGACACCACCATATTGTTGGATCACACCATGATGCACAATAACAATGCTTTCAGTTTCAGCAAGGAGCAGCCTGGCTCCTCTTGCCAGAATGATGAATGGCAAAACGCTGGGAACTTAATCTTATCATTGAGCTTTTCGCATAGGACCAAGGCTCTCTCTTAACAGACCGTTAGATAACAAGTCATATCAACTCAGAAACACGGGGTGAGTAAAAAAATTATATCTGTCGCTTCACATCACAGTTTCTCAAGAGTTACTCATAGTAGTAATGGCGTCCCTTCAAAGCAAATAATTTAATGTTAGCTTTCCATTGGTTTCAACAAATATATCTTCCACGCCGTAAATTTCAAGCTGAAAGCTAACTGAATCAGAGACATCACTTTGAAAGCATACATTTCATCCCCCTTTCAGACATGAACAGAACATTGGCATTCCTTATTTCGCTGTTTTAGGGCTACGATTCTTCGCAGCTAAATGCTTTCTATGTTTCAGATCTATGCATTTTATTTTCGGCTTTCCTTGCCCTGGATGACATCGTCTTTCAGCGGACGTGTCCAGGAAGAAGGAAGAGGCAAGTGGCATTCACTTCATCACAATACATTATTCAAGAACATTCGATCTCCTGGAACTTCTACGATGGTGGCTTGCAAAGAACTCTTTGCTTTTTTACTTCGATTGATTTCAGTTGCATGGAGTCCCCATAAGAGACCAGCTGTAGTTGTTCCTGTATAATTCGTCAGCGGAACAAAATTCGGGCTCGATAAGGTTGTTGTCAAATCATCAAGTTATAGGCATGCGAAACGTGATTCATTCCGTGTAAATCTGGTAGACCCAGGTTCTTAATTCAGAAAATCTGAGATGGTCTGATCATGTAGCAGTTCCTTGGCAAACGCGTGAGGGGAGTGATACTGCTCATCCTTCACGACTAATTCACCACACATTTCACTCTTGAACCTGTAAGCTCATGCAATGGCAAAACTCTTACATTATTTGTTGCTCGATGCATGTTGCTACGCTCTGAAAAACTGTGATATTCTTTGTCTCTTGCATGCTTCGAGCAGACAACACAGTTTGGCACCTCATTTACAAGAGGTACCTCAGATAAAATTTCTTTTAAGGAAACACATATTGCATAGATCTAAAAATCTATAGACACCATTGAAAAGTAGATTAAACGTTCTCCATATTGTTGTCATTGCAATTTTAGCCAGCTCCCCAGAAACTGGGGCGTGAGGTCTGAAACATCTCCCAAGTATGTTATTGACCCACTCTGTAGCAGTTACGTTATCAGGTAGAACTCCGAAGAACGAAGTCCTATCAGGAACATAAGGGTACCTACGGAGGTTATAGAAAGGAGGTTAGGACCTTTAAACTCAGATGACGGGTGTAAAGGAGAAAGAGTCGGGCGCATTGTTAACCCCAAGGGAAGATTTGTATCGCCTGCACTGATGTGGCCAGCAATGATCCCAGCACACAACTCAGAAACACCAACAATTTCTGCGACTGTTTCTTCCTATACTTCCCGGGGATAACTGAGGCAAAACGCATGAGTTATGCAGTTATTTTCCTCGGCATGGCTGCCTGGTCTCAGATGAACTGCTGACGGAACCCGTCAGGGAGAAAAAAGCCTTGGTGCTTCATCGCTGACGCAGAAACTCAATGGGAGTACTATGGCATCCCCACAAGCGAAGATCCAGGTGAATCATTAAAAAATGTCCAGGGTTTGAAATTCATCGTCTCATCCATCATCTATCCATGAAGAGGCTTGCTTGCTGACATTTGCATGCGATCAGGAATCCATAGCCTAGAAGCAACATGCCGGTATTTGAGGATGCAGATTCCACGAGACCGATTCGCTTCTACCCGTGTTCACGGAAGGTACTAGTGGCTGGGAACGGGTAGCCAGACAGGTCGTCTAGACTGCAGTCCCAGCTGGATTACATGCCGGTACACATTCCTCAAAAAAGTCATTTGACCCGTCCCCATCCACCATCATGGCAACTAACCGACCTCGATCGAACTGGTGAATTTGGCGAAACTATCTTTGTGAACGTCATCCTTGCATGCCTTTAAAGACGAAAGGAAAGCGAAGACGAAGCAAAGCGGAGTGAATGAAGGAAAAAAGAAAAGGAAACTGGCCTGATGAGTGTAGTCGCCCTATTCCCCATCCCTCAGGGAGTTCGGCTAGCTCGGCAATTTTTCTTTGCATCGCTTCTTCTCTCTTCTTCCGCTTTATTCCCGGCTCTTCGTCTCCCGTTTTGAAACGGATGTTCCTTTCCCAGAAAGAATCTCCAAGCAAGATGGTTCCGCTGGAACAGGTCTCCAAAGAAGGGTTCAAGGGACTTCATCTACGACAAGAGATACGGGACCGAAGACGAGGACGTCGCTCTCTCCGTTCTCAAGGATTCGCATCGGCTCCAGATCGATCTCCTCTTCGAGGAGTATGTTGACGAATTGAAAACGACGCTTCAACCAGAAAATGCGTTAAACTTTATCTCTGTCGCCCAGAAGCTAAACGTGAAACCGTTGCAAGATGAAGCATCGGACTTCATTGCCCGTGGGCTCCAGGAAATCATCCCAATCCCGGACTTCCTCATCCTGTCAGTGGAAACATTGCAGACCTTCCTCAAAAGATATGATCTGGATATCTCCTCGGAAATTGAAATCTACAAAGCAATGAAACGATGGCTCGGTCAGGACCCTTCAAGAAAAAGACACACGATAAAACTCTTGAACCACGTGAGACTTCCCCTATTGCCATTGCGCTATATTCATCGTAATGTCATGAGTCCATGATATCTGGAGATCCCCGATGTCTCGCACTTGTGTTGGAAGCGAAGGACTTCCACGCCCCGCAACTGAAGGACTCCGTCCCCGTGGCGAAGACTAAAACCAGAGGAACTGGCTTCTACCGACACACTCATGCACTCTGGTTCCTGGGAAGATGCGAAGGCGGAAACAGCATGCTGTGCTTAAATCCCTCCAACTGGTCCTCGGAGGTCATCACTCCCTATCCGAGATCAAACGCGACGGTCTTTGTTGACACTTTTGCAGCTGTGAATCGAAAGCTATTCGTGACGGGGAATGGAAGTGATGAAGGTGTTCCACTTGGAGAGGAAAGTATGGGAAACCGGTCCTCCCCCGCCCGAGAACGTCCAGTGGTCGTCATCGGCAGTCGGACTCGATTCCATATTCGTCTGCGGTGGAATCAGATACGGCAAAAATGAGAGTCATAAGTACTTCAAGTCCGTGAACCGATTCGAACTAGGATCTTGGGGATGGATCAAGATTCCGGATCTGCAATACGAGCGTCATGCGGGTTCGGCGGTCTTCGTCGAGTCGAGCCTTCATGTCATCGGAGGGAAACCCAACGGGAGGAAGCACGAGCGGCTGGACAAGAGGACAAAAATCTGGAGTGAACTCTCCGAATGGCCTGGAGGCTGGCACTCTCCTGGTGTCACGCTTCATAAAGGAGAAATCTATGTAGCTGGTGGTGACCAGGGAAGTCATGTCTTGCCCACAAACGTATACGTGCATGATGCGAGGAAGAACGACTGGCGCCTCCTGTCTCCCATGAAAGAGAAGCGGACAAATCATGGAGAATCTCTATGCCGTCGGCGGACGGGAGACGTCTTCGGTCGAAATATATGATGGATCCGATTGGAAAATGGCATCTCGACTGAATGTGGAGACATGTCGGAGGGCTTCCATCATGAAATGGTCCACCGTGTGAATAGCGGGGAGAGTGGGGAGGAGTACTTCATATTGACAGCTTCTCACCCCATTGTGACTAGTCTAAAAAAAAGTATGCGGGTGTGACGATGATGTACCAAAGTTATTATAGAGATGTTGAAGAACATTTGTGTCTATACCAGCTCATTAGAATTTGCTCAGATGTACTATTCTTCGACTTTGAAGTTCTCGTTGAACATAACACCCTTGAAAGTGTATTGCTATTTATTAACATAGGAATTTGAGTTTATTTATGGGAATTTTCTCCCCAGTCTTGATGGAAGAGCATATATATTTTTCCATGAATTGAAACGTCTCGAGTTTCTTTATAACAACTCAGTTCTTGTTTACTCGTTTTACCCTGTCGTCTTCTGCTCATGTGGAGGCAACTGATGGCCCTTCCACAGAACATGGAAGACCACACAATTCTCCAAATTTGTTCATTTTGTCACAGCTTTTGGGCTCTTGGACTCCAGCGGGATGCGTTGGAGGATAGGCTAATCAAAACCTCAGGTAGGTGAAATCGATTTATTAGTAAGACAAAAACACGGAACAATCGGGCGTGGTCGGGAGAATGTAAGCGGGGCGCCGCGGTGGAAGAGACTTGATGGAGAGCTGGCGTGGACGTGCCAGACGGCGAGGAAGACTTGGCGGGAGGATGTGGCCGGGAAGACTTGTAGCGGACGGCGGCTCGCGGAAGGATGTCAATTTTTCTCGACGTCCGTCTCGGAGCTGTGACGTCGGTGGAACTTGGTTATCGAGATCGCGAGAGATTCATGCAGGATTAGCATCCCGTAAAACGACGCGGAGGGTGCAGACCGGGCACGGAAAAACGTCCGGCCAAACAAAGGCAAGGGTCACTTGGGAATGCTCAGTCGAGCTCAGGAATGCACTATTAACCTCAGATTGTTCGGGTT